AAGGTGATGCACCATCTCATCATGGGATGATGCTACTCTCATCCTCTCCTCGTCCTCCTGCTCCTCCTCCTCATCCTCCTCCTCATGCGCATCCTCATGCTCTAACATCTCCATCAGATGATCATCTGCACCATCTTCGCCGCCTGTCGGATAGAGGAAGGCTCACGGCCATCGGGTTCCTTCTGGAGCATCATGAGAAAGCATGAGAAGTTCTTCAAGCTAGGAGAGCAGATGTACTGGAGGGTCAGGATGGGACAGACCGACGATCAGGTCACTCCTCCTCCCCATCCTCCTCCTTCTCGCGCTGCTGCTGCTGCTGCTGCTGCTGCTGCTGCTGAAGATGATGATGATGACGACGACGACGACGACGATGATGATGATGATGATGATGATGATGATGATGATGATGATGATGATGATGATGCTGATGATGATGATGTGATGATGTGATGATGTGATGATGTGATGATGTGATGATGATGATGATGATGATGATATGATGATGATATGATGATGATAATGATGATGATGATGCCTCTGCTGCTGCTCCCCTCCTCCTCCTCCTCCTCCTCCTCTTTCCTCCTTTTCTGACCTCCTCACAGGCAGTCAACCTGATCTCCTTCTACAACAAGAAATTCATCCGCATCTGCAAGGACTTCGTTCACTCTGACGCTCTCCGTGCCCCCCTCCATCCTCTCCGCACACATTCATCAGGGCCCCCACAGAGATCTCCCAGCCTCTCCCGCCCTCCCCTCTCCCCTGCTCGCTCCTTCATGGACGCCGGCCTTCACCACTCGGCTCCTCCTCGCTCCCCCGTCAGGACTTCTGGTTCCTCCTCCCTCTCCTCTCCCGCTGCCCTCAACTTCCTCCGGACACCTCCTGCGAGTCCCATGAGCCCTCCTCATGCTCGCACGATGGATGTAAGTGCCTCTCCTTCCTTGGCTCCCCACCCCCCCTCCTCCCCTCCTTCTCATCCTCGTCCTCGTCCTCGTCCTCGTCCTCGTCCTTCTCCTCCATCCTCTTCTGTCCTCTCTCCTCTCTCCTCCCTCCTCTCTCCTCTCTCCTCTCTCCTCCCTCCTCCCTCCTCCCTTCCTCCTTGTCTCACCTCCTTCAGGTTCTCTCAAGCCCTTCTGCTCTCACGCCAGGACGAGGCGCCATGACTCCGAGGACGAGACATCTCTTCGCCTTCGAGCAACCGACAGGAGGAGAGCACAAGAGAAGGTCTGTACTCTCTTCCTCGTCGTCCTCGACCTCGTCCTCGTCCTCGTCTTCCTCCTCGTCCTCGTCCTCGTCCTCGTCCTCGTCCTTGTCCTCGTCCTCGTCTCCCTCCTTCTCGTCGTCCTCGTCCTCGTCCTCTCTTACACTTGTCACGCAGAGCCGGGCAGATGGACAGTCCAGCATCTTCATCAGGAGAACCTCCCCGATCAAGAGCAAGGAGGTTCCTTCAGCCGAGCTGGGAGACGGAAGGGATGTTCTCCCTTCCTCCTCGCCTCCCCCACCACGATCCTCCCGCGGACCCCCAAGGCTCCTCCTCTTCCTCCTCCTCCTCCTCCTTCTCCTCCTCCTCCGATCAGTCGGGGAAGGAGTAGTCATGCCGGGTAGCAGAGCATTGGAGAGTTGAGGGTTGTAACATTCTTGTTGGCTGCTAACAGTCTTGTTCGTGTAACTTTAAACGTGTGAAGAAAACTGACTGGAATGACATCTGACTGCTTCTGCTCCTGCTCCTGCTTCTGCTCCTGCTCCTGCTCCTGCTCCTGCTCCTGCTCCTGCTCCTGCTCCTGCAGTCCTGCTCCTTCTCCTCAGGCTCTTGCCTACTGGCCGCTGCTTCAGGCTGCTCCGGACTCAAAATCCTCAGGCAACTGCCGTCTGGGCTACTGAGCTCAGGCTGTACGGTCAACCGGCTCCCAGCCCTCGGGGCCTGCTGGTGCTGGTGCTGTGGTGCTGGTGCTGGTGCTGGTGCTGGTGCTGGTGCTGGTGCTGGTGCTGGTGCTGGTGCTGGTGCTGGGGCTCAGGGCTGGGGCTGGGGCTGGGGCTGGGGCTGGGGCTGGTCACCGGGTGCTGGGGCTGGGGCTCAGCGGCTGTCAGTCCGATCACGGTCCGGTGGCAATATGATCGACTCTTAACTTGCATCATTCTGAGTGAAGGCGATGCAATCGTCCGACTCATGATCAGTCTGTGGGGAGCCTCAGGCCGGATCCCGGAGGCTGACCGGCCTGGGGCCCGGGCCCGGGCCCGGGCCCGGGCCCCAGGCCTGCGGCCCGGCCCCGGTAGTACTGGGAGTCACCCCGGCGGCGGGTGACTCCATGCAGGGGAGACGGTCACGCTCGTGGTCACGGCAGCGCCTTTAAAGCTGGCAGCGCCGGGCCTGCTTGATAGCGAGCAGATACGAGAGTGTTATAAAGCCCTCATAAACCTTTATAAATAGGCGCATTAAACTCCATAATTATACATAATTATATCAAATTATGTTTTCCGTGTATAAGAATTGGAAGTTTCTATGCGCTTCAACGCAAGGGACGCATGTCGGAAATGAGGGGTGGCAGGGGGTGGTCACACCAAAACAGACCGGGTAGGGGTGGTACGGACCCCCCGGGAATCAGAGGGTGGGTGGAAAGAAAATTTCCACTGATTTCGTTACAGTGGGGTGATAGTGTAGATGGACGGGTACAAAAAAGGTCATCACTATTTCATGGGTGGGTGTGAGTGAAATTTATAGGGTGGGTACTGCAATTAGTACCAATATTTTTGATACAGTACCCGTACTTGAACTTTTGTAAGGGGTCATCAATTTTTGCCATGGGTACATTTTCCAATGGGTATGGGTATGCGTGGGGTAGGGTACGTGAGGTCGGACGAGAATGACTATACGTGTCCATAAGCACCTGGAGATTGAAGGGTGGGTATAAAATGGACCGGTACTGAAACGGGGAATGGAGGGGGAGGGTGGTCGGGAAGTCAGTAGTAATCGGAAGGTAGACGGGGGTCGGAGGAAATGATATCATGGGGGTAGGGTAGTAAAACTATAGGGTGATCAGGCTCTTGGGGTAGTCATTGGGGTTCAATATCAGGGTGGGGTGTGTCGACGGGTCAAGAGTACCCTCCTGATGTAGGGGTATATGTGGTATAAATAGGGGGTAAGAAATATGCCATGGGGAATCAGGGACAAAAGGGTGGGGTCCAAGATTGATTTGTTAAAGTTGAAACTACTATGGGGGTAGGTCATAAAAATTAGGGGGTAGGGGTAATAAATGAGTTATGGCTGTAGGTGGGTGGAGGAGAAGGGAGTGGGGTGGGGGTAAAGTAGGAGCCATAGCTCAAGGATGGCGAAAAAATTGAGGGGAATGGAAGTGGAGGAGGAGGGAAGTGGAGGAGGGGGGAGAGAGAGGGAGAGAGAGAGGGAGAGAGAGGGAAGGAGGACGGGGAGGAGAGGTATGCAACTAGGGAAGAAGTTTGAGAAGTGAGAGGGGAGGGCAGATTGAAGAAGCAGAAAGAGGATGAGAATCTAAATGGCGAACGAGGAGTTGGGATAGAGATTAGCTTATCATCACAGCAGACCTCGTATTGATCAGTGATGCTCTTTCAGACCGAGAATGACACGTTGCTGAAACGTTTGCAGGCCATTCAATCAAGGCTTGGACGTTGAGCATGACTGATTGCGCAACGACGCTTGATGTGTTTTGTGCCCCGGTTGAAGTCGAGCGTTGTCTCCCGCCTTTCATTTAGTCTGCTGAGGAGGAGTACTTGCAAGAAACACAAACGAGCATTTGCAAGCGCACCGGAAAACATGACAGAGGTCGAGGCCAGCAGAGGGCTGAGCAGGAAGAAGTCGATGCGTGCGCGAGATCCAGAGGAGGACATGAACGACAAGATGTTCGAGGACAGGCTAAAGGAGCGGCTCACTATTGCTGTTGTTGGAGGAGGTGAGGAAAATCTCACATGCCGCGATGCAGTCCAACTCTTTTCCTAGGGATCGGCGGCCTTGCCGCGGCGCTGGCCCTGACACGGCGCGGGTTCAAGTAAGTGGAGGCTCGAAGAAAGAGCGGGTGGTGCTGACTGCATGCAGGGTCAAGGTGTTCGAGAAGGATCCTTCGTTCTTCTACCGCAGACAAGGATACGGGCTCACCTTGCAACAAGGGAGCTTCGCGCTGACGGCCCTCGGCCTCTCCGACGCCATTGTCGCTGCAGCCTCTTGGTCCCAGTGAGTGCACCGAGGAGGAGATGGGGGAGAGGAGTGTGGAGGAGAGGAGTGTGGAGGAGAGGATTTTGTGGAGAATATGTTGCATTCTTCTTTATGCTGGCATGCTGGCTGCATCGAGGTGCTGGGGATGCGTGCTTCTGATCTCTGCGCCTCTTGCCAGGTCTCACTTCATATTCGATTCCCACGGGCAGCTCGTGTCGTTCTGGGGTCCCACTTGGAACGAGGTGCAAGGCCAGACGAGAGGAGGAGAGGAAGGAGGGGAGGGAGAGGGAGAAGGAAGACGGGTGCAAGGCCAGACGAGAGGAGGAGAGG